ATGTATCAAATACTGCAGAATAATATGGTGAAATTATGATATAAAATGAATTTTGTTTAAAAGTAAATATAATTTTAATAATTAGGTACTTGTTGAAACTTTTTTATTTAACACAACTCCCTCAGAATAATTAAGACTTAAATGTCTTTAATTTTTAGGTATATTAATATCTATGAATGATTATAATAAGATGATTTTTAGAGAAGCCATTAGATTGTCAGTATAAAATATTTTATATATTGTTAGAATTTCTTATTATGTATGAGAAATTAAAAGAATAAGAGTTTATAATCATCTATGGAAGAAGTTTTAAAAAGATCTTTATCATTTATAAGAAATGATTAAATTCAAAAATTAATTTAAAATGCTCCTAAGGAATCATAAAAAAATAAAGTATTCAAATAATCAGCATTTTCATAATATGTAGGAACTACTTTAGAAAATCTATCAAATAGTGGAACTGAAACTAAATTTAAAAGATATTTTTAATTATTAGGAAAAGATAGTGGAATTATTATTAAGAATTACAAGGATTTATGTGTAAATAAATCATGGAAATCTTTTACAATTTTAATGGAATTTAAAAGAGAAGGTTTTCATTTCATTAATTCAAATGCAAAAACACTTGAAGATATCTATAAAAAAGAATAGATATTATTTGCATATACTGGACATATATTAGAGAGATAAGAAAAAGGTAATCATTAAGGAATATCTTAAAAATAAAATATTGTTTAAGTTGATTTAATCACCGTATCATTGATCAATTAATAATTAAATTAATAAGAATAGTAAAATTTAAATTATCTTCAAAATATAATAAAAATTGCAATACTCAATTCAGAATTATAAATGTAAGAATTTACAATAGATTACACATAATAATCAAAGGATGAAACTATATTACTTATTTTTATGTTCGATGATAGAAATAAAGGAAAATTTTCAATTAATATTTAAAATTAAAAGAAAAAGTCTTTTTAAATTAAACCATTTTTATCAGAATACATTAAAAAGCATTCTGATAAACATCCTTTAAGTGTAAATATAGGGTCTTATTATTCAAATTAATAATTTTAGAGAACATTTTAGGGAATTATTAATAATTTTATTCTTGTTGAAAATATATTATTGGAAAAATAAATAGAATCAATATTTTCAAGAGATTAAACAAATTTAGTGACAATTGTTGAATAAGAAACAATGAATTTTGGAATAGATGAAATTTAAAGTATAAATTTATTATTATATTTTATTAGGTAGGGAAATGTAATACTTAGATTTCGAAAAATTTAAGTCTAGTTTTTAAATTGTAGAAATTAAAGATGTTTTGAAAATTATAAGAGCATAAAATGTATAAGATTAAAATTTTATAATGACAATGTTAAAGAAATAAATATAGCATAAGATAAGTTATGAATAAAATTAAGATGTTAAAGTATTATATTAAGGTGCTAATATTATTGAAGATACAAGTTTGGCTGAAGTTTTCTTAAGTTTAGAGAATATTGAAATCATATTATTCATCATATCCATTACAACTTAAACTTATTTTGAGATTGAACCATAAGAAAGAAGATCATGTAAAATAAGAAGTGTTAAAGAGGTTTTATAAAATGGATCTACTACTAGCAAAGGAGTTTATAAAAGAACTAATTATTTTGATTCTTAATAAAGATCATTATTTTTAGTAAAAGATTTAAAAAAATGTAGAGATGATTATATAAACAGTTAACAATTTTAATAGAATTTAAAGAAATAAAATAGTTCAATAATTTCATAAGGTGAGTCTCCATTATAATAAAGATAAAATTTTATTTAACTGGAATAGAATAGTTCAAATTCAAACACTAATTCAATATAATTAGCTTCTTAATTTTAAGCTGTTTCATAAAAAAATATTGATCAATTAGATCAAACTTCATTATTTAATATTCCAGTTATATAAGTATAAAGCACTTTCTCTTAAGAATTATAATCACCTTTTATTATGAAATCTAATTAATCTGAATAAAAACAAAATTCTCCAGGTGATTTACCACATTTTGAAATACCAAATTAAATACTTTCAAAAGAGAAATTCACATTAGAACAATTTAATATAGATAGAAAAGTTAAATCTTAGTTTACTGGAAGAAAAAATACAAGAAATAATACATGTAATGTATCAGCAACAAAAGCATTTTAAATGAATTAGCATCTAAAAAATTTAGTTGAAATATAAAGTGATAAAAATATTAATTGGCATTAATAAAATAGTGAGTCAATTATATATGATTCTAATCTTTATCATTGTGAATGGATTAGAGTAAAAATGTAAATATATGGAGAATTAAAAATCTTAGAAAAAGGCAAAATTCTTTAATTTTAAAGTGATGGATCAGAACGTCCTGATAAAGATTTCTACATTTATGGAACAATAGTATTGTATTATTTAATATTAATAGCCTTATAATTTAAAAAAATTGAAGAAAACAAAAATAATAAATACATCTTAAATCTTAGAAATTTAAACTAGAAGATATTCACATAAAGAAATAGCTATCGAGATATTCTGTAAAAACACAAAGTCTTACTTTTTTGTTTTATACGATTAAGATAGAAGGACATAATTCTTTAATTAAATAAAATAGAACAATACATTTAATATTGTAATAGATAAAAGAGCAGGTTAAATATTTTAATAAATTTTAGAATTTTTAGCAAAAGAATATACAAAAAAATGGGTTAAAGGAAAATTGTCAAATTTTGAATATTTAATGTTAATTAATAAATATTCTGGAAGATCTTTTAATGATTTAAATTAGTATCCAATATTTCCATGGGTTATTTGTGATTATACAAGTAAAACTATTGATTTAGTAATTTAATTATTATTATTATTTAAAATAGACTAAAAGAGAGATATATAGAGATTTAGAAAAAATGATTAGTAGTTAAAATGAGGAGAGATTAAAAAATTGTAAAATTAGAGCTGAATCTTTAAAATAAACTTAGAATGAATATTTTTTATTTGGATCTCATTATAGTGTAGCTGCATAAATAATAAATACTCTTGTTAGAATAGAACCATTTACTACTTTATCTTGTGAATTACAAGATGGAAAATTAGATTAACCTGATAGATTATTTTTTTAAATTTCAAACATATGGCAATCTTGTTAAAATGATAATTAAGATTATAGAGAATTAATTCCTGAGTATTTTTATTTACCAGAATTTTTGAAAAATATTAATAAAATACATTTTGGTCAAAGATAGAATTAAGAATAGGTTGATGATGTTATTTTACCTCCATGGGCTTCAAGTTGTGAAGAATTTATTGAAATAAATAGATAGGCACTTGAATCTAGTTATGTTAGTGAGAAATTACATAATTGGATTAATTTTATATTTGGACCATATGCTTAAGGGGAAGAAGCAAGAAAAAGAGATAATTTATATCATTGGTTAACATATGATTCATGTTTAACATATTTAGATAAATTGCCAAGTTAAGAGAAATTGGGATATTTAGCTTAAATATAATAATTTGGTTAAGTTCCATTTCAATTATTTGTAAAACCACATTGGCCAAAATAAAAATAATAATTAAATTTATTTTCCCCTACTAATTTAATAAAATTATTAAGTGAAAAAAAATTTATTAATTCTAAAAAAATAATGAAATTTGATAAAAAGTTTGCTATAAAAATTTATAGGGAAAATGAAAATTTACATGTTTTATTGAATGATAAAACAGTTTAAAAATTAAAGTATAAATTTAATATAAAATAATATAGATAATATAATAATTAAGAGAGAAGAGATAGTGAAGAAAAATTGGCAAATGCGTCAACATTTTCTATTAGAGGAAATGAAAAACTTCATTCAAAAGGATTATAATTTTAATTTGATGATCATGTCTTATTTGTTTGTGGATATTTAAGTGGAGCAGTTTATATTTATAATTTATTTACAGATAAATCTTAATAAGCTTAGATATGTCATAAAATTAAATTACATAAGAAAAGAGTAACTTGTTTATCATATTCCTCTAAATTGAAAATTTTATGTTTGGGAGCAAAAGATAATAGAGTTACTATATGGAATGCTATTTTTTCAAATGAAAAATAAATTTCATTTTTATCCACTCCATCTTTAATACTTTATGGTCATGATAAAACTATCAAATGTGTTCATATTGATGATACTTTATAAGTTGTAATAAGTTTGGATAAAATTGGGAAATTATAAATTCATTCTATTATTTCAGGATTATTTCTATAAGATTTTAAACTTGATTTAGCATAAGGTGAAAAAGTTAAAAATATTGTAACAAATGGAAATGGATTAATAATTGTATATACTAACCATAATTAAATTATAGCAACTAGGTATTTATATAATTTATAATTAATAGAGTAAATGGTTTAATTATATAAAAATATTTTTATATGAATATCGGCAATATAACTTAAATAAATTCATTCTTATAATCACATTTATTGGTATCAACTCTAAAGGGTGAAATACTTATAATTTAAGATATCACTAGTTTACCTGATTAACCTCCCATCTTTTTCCATTTATACTAAAATACATCTAATATAGGAATTTTAACATTCTCATAATGTATTTTATATGTAATAACTATTAGTTATGGAGAATGAATCTTTAGTCTTTATAATAAGTTTAATGGATGGAACATTACAAAGATATGTTATAAGTTGTGAATAAAGTAAACTTATTATTTTATTTTATAGATGTTGAATTTTTTAATTATCTAGGTAAATTAGGAATGTGATGAATTTTTAAAATTTTAAATTTGATTAAATAATTTTATATTGAAAATTAAGTTATTAAATCATCAAAAAAAGAATATTTATATTATATTAATTTGCCTTATTTAGACACTATCAATTATATAATATCAGAATTAATTAATTTTTTTATTCTCAATTAAATATTTATATATTAATTTATTTATCAATTTCTAAATCACATATACTAAATATATTATGGGAAATTCTATAGAGATTAATCAAACTTTATCTTATTAGACTATTCAAGGATAGGAAATACTTCTTCCTTTTAAAGAATTAAAGGGAAAGTAAAATTTTCCTAAAGTCCCTTCAAGAGAAAAAGATGTTGAAATTATGTTTCAAAAATGGCTTAGCAAAGTAAACTATTTTATACTGATGACAGATTGTGATTGGAAGAAGAGAAAAAGAAAAACTTAAAGGAATACCTCTTAAATACAAATTTAGATTATGTTACAAACATGACTAAATCATTTAAGAGATAACTAAAGGAGAATAATATAAATAGAAAGTCATATAGGAAACAGATAAACTAATTTAGAAGGTATTATCACAACAAGACGTTGTTTCATTAGATGGTACATATTTTATTCCACATTATAAGCTTTATCAAGAAATTTAACAAATGATGACCTACTTGAACATAAAATCACTTTACTAGCTAAAGTTGATCTTATTGCAAAATTAGTTGTAGAATTGAAAACCTAAGAATTGTTATCTAGACATTCCAAAAACTTTAGGGATTAGATTGTTATTATCAAAATATTTGAGAAGTTATTACATCATGAATCAGGTAATCTTTAAGTATTTATTATTGTATAGGTGTATAATTATTATGTGATACTTCTAATTTTTTTTAAATTATGTTTAGTACTTTTCATCCAGTTGAACCAGAAATTACAGGATTAATGCTATAAGTTTTAGGTGGCAAATCTGGTTTATGTTGGCAACCTGAATGTTTAGATAATATTCTAGATGCTATGACTGAATTTTAAAATAATCATAGATTATAAACTAAGTAACAAATATATTAAAATTATAGATTTGATGTAATAATACGAAGTATTTATTATACAAAGAATTTAATTATTATCTATCATCTACTATAATTTTTGTTTAATTTTTTATTTTCAGTTGAAAAACCTGAATCTGATTCATTACATAAAGAATTATTAGAAACAGTAATTAATGGTAAAAGAATTGATGAAGTATTTTAATAAGTGAAAATTCGAATTGTTAAAGATTACTATTAAATTGAAGAATGTACATATTAAGGTGTAAGATAAAAATTAGCTTAATTCTAACATCCTCTTGTTGAAAAATAATCTTAAGAAAATGATTTCTTTTCTATGTAGAGATTTAAAACAATTACTGAAAAACCACCTAAAGATGCTATCAAACCTAATATTGAATTTGATCTTGAAGAAACAGGAAGAATTAAATTTGAAAATTGTTTTTATTTTGAATAACATGATCTTAAGCTTTTTAGTATATTGAAAGTTCAAATTTTTGAACTTATGGATGGTATATTAAATATTGATTCCATTTTAATTTAAATTGAAAATGATGATGTAGATCAAACTGAAATTGTTTCTAATCCAAATGATGTTTTCAATGAAATGCAAACATTAGCTGAAGTAGATGAAGAAGAAGAAGAAGATTACGATAATAGATTAGTTAGTTTCTCGAAAATTAAGAATAATGATTAATTTAGAAATTAAGGTAATATGATTAAATATGCCAATGCTAATTTATAATAAGAATACAATTAATTAGAGGAAAAACATTCAATTCTATTTTCTAAATATGAAGAAATGGAAAAATAATGTCGTGAATTATAAATGTAATTATTTGATGAACAATTAAAAATTAAAAAACTTGAAGAATAAAATGAAAAATTATTATATCATTCTACCAGTCAAAATTAAGATAAAATTAATACATTAGTTTAAGAATAAATTGAATTTCTTAAATAACAGCATTTAATTTAAATCACTTCATTGACACAAGAATTAACATAATTGAAAGATTAAATTTAAAATTAAAATTTAGTTGAAAATTAGTTAATAAATTAAATTGAAATTGAAAGAACAAAGGTACAAACCTAGAAATAATAAATTGACTTATTATAGAGATATATTGATTAATATGCTTCTATGCCTATTTCTTAAATATCTGATAAAAATGATGAAAAATAAACTGAAATTTAAAATCCTTAAACTGAATTACATATTATTGAGGAGACAAAATCTATCAAGGATACATAATAAATAATAGAATAATCTAATGAAACAGAGGATAAATCTAAATAAGATTTTGCATCATAAACATTAAATGAAAACTAATAGATTCATTAAAATGAATAATTAGAATAAAATTTAACTAATTAAATTTAAAACAATATAATAGATTAAAATATTAATTAAGATATAGTCAAATCTGATACAGATTCAAAAAACTAATAAGAAATTGTAAATGAAATTATTATTGTGAAAAAATTAATGATAGATTCAGAATCATAAACAAATCTAAAACTATATATAACCTAAGAAGCATAAACTACTTTTGAATTTCCGACTAATCCATAATCTTAAGTAACAACTTAAGCACAGTAGGATTAACAACAGACTAACCCCATTCCTGTTTAACCCCCTAACCCACCTCCTATTACTGTTAAGGTAGCTCCACCTCCTCCACCACCTCCTAGTCTAAAAACTGGTGGCCCTCCTCCACCACCTCCTCCTCCTCTAAAAGGAGCTTAATAAGCATCTAAACCAACAGACTCTCTATTTCCTTTCAATAAAGTTGAACTTATTCCATCTCTTCCTACAAAACCTTTAAATTGGATTTTGATATAACCATAAAATATGAAAAATACTATTTATGAATAGATTTATCAAGAATCTTATGAAATAGATGCAAAATACTTAGAAACATATTTTTATAAAATTTAATCTGCATCATCTACTTAATAGTAAAATAGTGAAAATTAAATTGTTAAGAAAGTAATACAAACTAAGATACAATTAATTGCTACAGATAGATCCAAAAATATAGAATTAGTATTGGGAAAAATTAAGATACCAAATGCTTTGATCATGAAATCATTATTATCAATTGATTTAAATATACTGACAGATTCTGCAATAGATTCTTTAGATACAATAATCCCAACTGATGAAGAAATTAAAATTGTATTAATTTTATACTTAAATTAAGATTAGTGAATTTTAAGGCCAAAGAGATTTACTTGGAGTTGTTGAAACTTTTATTGATAGCATAAGATAAGTTAATGGATTTTAATTTAGAATCAGATCATTAAAATTTAGATCAGTTTATGATGATTATAGATAAGACTTAATTGATAAAATAACTATTTTAACTTCAAGATTTTAAGAAATAAGAAATTTATAAGGACTATAGAAGATGTTATTAATAACTTTGAATATTGGAAATTTTTTAAATGGTAAAAATTTAAATTAAACATTTCAGCCAAGACTCCTCGTGGAAGAGCTTTGGGTTTTAAAATAGAGGCTCTTGACATCTGTGCTGAAATCAAAACATCTGACAATCAAAATAATAATTTATTACTATATATTATAGAAAAAACAGAATAAATAATAGGAGGTGAAATCATTTCAGAAGAAAGTAATAATATAATTATATTTAGAAATGAAATCATTTGAAGTCCTTTAAAGAGTTCCAGTTCATCAATTAGTAGTTGATTTAGGAGATATTAAAAAAGGTTGTAGTTTTATAAAAAAGGCTATGGAATCATAAACAGATGATCCATAAGATTTAGTAGAATAAAAGTTTAAGGATGGTTATGAATCCATCACAAAAGACATTGAAGAACTTGACAAGAAGATGAATCATTTAGAAGAAGAATATAAAAGATGTGCATAATTTTATGGTGAAAATCCTAAAGATCCATCAGATAAATTTGGAGATAAGATATTAAAAATATTCAGACAAATTTTAAGATAAAAATTAGAAAAATTGTAAAGGGAAGAAAGGGCAAAGAGATAAGAAGCTTTAAAAAAAAGATAAATGTTGAAAAGTACACCCTTAACAGCAAGAAGGGCAGATGAAGGACCTAAACCACCTCCAAAGGAAGCATAAAGATAATCTGTCTTAAAACCGATTATTCCAAGATAATCTATCAAAGATAGCATAAAGCTTGAAGTACCTGGAAATAAAGGTCCAAAAAAGAGTTTTATAGCCAATGAAATTAGCTAGCTACGTCATATGAAATAGGTAAGAGCTAGTATATTAACTATTAACAAAAAATGAAATTAAAATGATCACTAGTTATCTGTGTGTTTTATTAGTAAATATTTTATATCCATTATCAAAAAACACCTTTCTAAGATTAAAATAATAATAATCTTATCCCTCAAATGATTGTAGATCCCTTTTATAATTTATTCTCATATCAAGAATTTGGACTAATATAATTAAACTAAAAAAGGTCTTATTAAAGTTTAAAAATAGTTGACAACATTTAAATTTTCCATAATTACAAAGAGAATTAGGCGATTCTTTAAATTCAAATTTAATATCAATTTAATAAATAGGACTCAAGAGATGAAGCATAAACAATCATCATTTGTTTTTTTCTCTTTATTTACATTATAAATTTTCCAATTATCAACTATTTAAACATCAACAAGACCTTCTTTTGGATAGATCTCATCTCTGAAAGTTATTGAGAATTTTTTCTAATCATTTATTTAATTGCTATGTTTATCTGTTCTAATTTTAGTTTCATGTCTTTTGGTACTAAATTCTGTTTAAAGTTGCTCAAAACACCAATTAATTTCATAACCTTAATCAAAACTATGGTCACCCTGGCAAGATTATATTCTTATCATATCTAAAAATATAAATAAGTTTTAATGGAACTAAAATTTATGAAAAGAATATCGTAATTAATGAATAAATAAATAAAATTTCTTTGAAAAAAATTCTTATTTCATTTTTAGAATTACAATTTTATAATTAAAATATTTGTTTTCAAATGTGAAATTGATATATTTATTATAAGATTTGGATCACTTAGATTATTATATTGCAAAAGATTAACAAAACTTTGTATATAGTAATTTCCTTTATAAAATAAATTAGCAATTACAATAACTTAGATTCCTATTTTAATTATTTCAGTAGATAATTTTGTTAGTAAGAATTTTGAATTAGATAATAATTCTATAAAATAACCTTATTTCAGGGTTATAAACTAATTGCTACTATTGAAATATAGTTCTAATATTTTTTAGCAAGAATATGTTATTATATTTTGTCATCAAAATTTAAAATGAACATTATAATGAATGTAATATATTTTGTATATATATCTATCAAACTCCTTACATTTAGAGTTTAGAGGCAACATCTAAATCTTTTACCATTTTTTTAAATTCTGCAAAGGAGATTTTAGAATCAAAGTCTTCATCTGCTTTGATAATGGTTCTATCTACTAATTGTTGTAATTAAACATCAGTTAAATTATTTCCAACCATCATTTAAAGAACTTTGAATAACTCCCCATTTGTAATAAATCCATCTTGATCTATATCATAAATTTTAAACATGAATTTTAACTTCTCTTCTTCATCATTACCGTACAAGCTGGACAATCCAGTAATAAATTCAGCAAAACTTATCTTACCATCATTATCCTTATCAAATATTTGAAACACTCTTTTCACTAATGGATTTTGAGAAAGCTCTGGAACATCAAACAATTCAGATGGTTCTAATTGGCCAGAGCCATCCTTATCTAAGAATTGAAATCTCTTGTAAAGTCTTTTAATTTCTTGAGGTTAGAATGTACCCATTTATTCTTCCATTCCTTGACCATTACCCATTTTTGATTATGTGATTAAAAATATTAATAATCCTTATAATTAAATTAGCTCCCTAATTATATAAATAGCTGAAAATACAATATATTTAATAAATATAAAACTAATTACAACTTGAAATATGATTATAGTGAAGTCTTAATTCAAATACATGTAAATTATTTCATAATATTTTCAATTAGATTTTATCTTAAATCTTCTCAAACAAATATTTAAAGTCCTTTGTAGGCAAACATTTTAAGTTTTTTTTAATGATTTTTAGATGTTTTAAATGTTTAGCTTTTAAAATAACCTTTATTCAATTTTTTTATCATTTCTTCTTTTCAATATATTTTTTTATTTTAATCTCCAAAATCATTTTCCTTTTAAGTTATTAATAGTCTTATTTTCGGCCTATATTTAATTATTCTTTTTCATCAATATGTATTTATTACCTTTTCAAAATTTTAATTTTTATTAATTAGAATAGCATAAAATTCTAATTTTTCAATTAAAAAACTTTAATGTTATTCAAAAAGATTATCTGATCTTAAGCCGTTTTAGCAATCTTCGTGTTCTAAAATCTCTTCTAAAAAATAACTTAAAATGCAAATAATTTATTTTCTGTATATAATATTTAAAAAAATTACTTTTTTCATTAATTTTCTTATATTACGGATTGAACAAAGTTGCAAGTGATATAATTTGATCGTTAAAATTAATAGAAACGTATTTTTTATTTCTCTTTCTTTCTAATAACGGGTATTATTAAATTAGCGATTTCTTTGTTAAATAAATTATAATTATATAACATTCTTGTAATTCTATCAACATATTAAATATTAATATAATTTTATAATAAATGAAAGGGTGGTAGAATTAGTATATTAATTCATAAAAAGTAAAAGGAAATGATGATAAGGTTAGAAAAATAAGATTATTTGAAAATAATGAATATTTAAAAACTTAGGATATAAAAGATTGTCTTGAATATGTATTTCCTTAATCTGAATGTTTCAGCTTGGCTTAATTAATAGAATCAATGGTATAATGTATTATTATATTAAGCAATACAATTTCATAAAAATTTATAAAGGATAGGTTTTAATAATTATTTTAGAAGTGTTAAAACATCTTTAATAATTACATTAATTCAAAATATCACATGGAAGATTAAATCCTTAAAATATTGTTATTAAATTAAAAAATGATAAAGATAATAAATTAACAATCTAATAAATAAAATTTACAATATAAAGAGTGTATTTCATTAATTATAGAATTATTGATGATGTTAAATATGAAATTAATTATATTTAAGATAATTATGATATTATTAATTGCTGTATTTCATTGATATCAGCATATTAAAATTAAATGTGTGAATTATTCAACTTTATTATTACTAATTTAAAATTGTATTAAAACTAAGAGATTGAAATATCTTAATTAGTTAACTTTTTTAATTTATATATTGAAGAGTATTTAATATAATTATTTTAGATGTGTTGATTAATAAACTTAAAAAATCAAAAAAACTAAAATTTATCCTCCTAAATTAATTTAATAAAATGTTTAAACTATTCAATGTTAGGAAGGAGAAGAATATGGTATGTTATCAAAAAGATATAGATGTTCAACTATTATTTCAAAATTTTTGGTAACAATTAGTGGTCAATCAGTTAATTATAAATTAAAATATCAAAATGATTATAATAAATATGATATTGATGAATAATAGGTTGAAATTATTGATATTAGAAATTATAATTAAGAAGAATTATGGATATTTAATATTTTTGAATATATTTTAAAATAATAAATGATGAAGATAATTTGGAAACATTTCGGAGACTTTTTTGAATCTTGGGGTTAAAATATTGATGAATAATTTACTTAAGTTATTGAAATCATAAATTAAAATAATCAAAGCATTTTAAATGATCACTTAAAACTTATTTTAGAAGAATATTAAAATAGTAAAAAAATAAATGATGAAATCAAAAATGAAATTGAATAGAATTACAAACTTGATATTTAATATGATGAATAAAAAGCAAAAGATCATTTTATTTTACAACTGAAGATTTAGGCATAAAATTATGATATAAATAATATTTAATCTTTCATTGAAAACATAAAATCTTAAGTTAAATAATCATTATAAAAATAATATGATGAAATATTAGAATATGAAATAATAGCCCTTAATTTAGATTTAATTTGAGATTAATTTTAATTTTATCTTTAAAATATAATAATAAAAAGATCATCTGAATTTACGTTTAATTAGAGAAATTTAATATTAGAATAATGATATAATACGATAAAATCATTCGGCCTTGTCTTAAGGGGCTGCTACAATAGGGGCTACGGAATAGGCTTCCAATTGTAATTAATTTTAACCTTAACATTTATATACTTTTTTCAATACCAACAGCAATATAGGCTAAACCTTTGAGACCCCATGAATCTCCCCAAGAATTTTCGATAACCCAATAATTAACTCCGTCTTGCTTTCCCCAACCAATAACTTTGACTGCATGTCCATATTGGAATCTAAATAAAAATTTTGAAATACTTTGAACTTCCTTCTACTACTTCATAAATTCCTCCTTTATAAACAAGAAAGTCTTTGAATACTTAGATAACTGCAACAACAGGTCCATTGTTTAAAATTTCTCTTTTAATGTTTTCCTCACTGGAGACAACACAATAATCTTAAATCTTATATTTTTCACAATTGGTAAAAAGAGCATCACAATTGTCTTTTGCTTCTTCAGTTCCAGTATATGGTAAACAAGAGGTTGTAACAAACCCTTACTTTTTGCCAACTTCTAATACTCTAGTAACACTTCCTCCTCCACATCTATAATTTTTATTATCACAAGAGATTGGTGATTATGGTGATAATTAATCTTAAAATTCACCATTTCTGACTTTACATAACCTATCACTTGTAGCTGAGACAGCAGCGATAGAATAGCTGGATGAACAATTTCCTATCGATTAAACAATAGTTTACCTTAATTGTAGATTGGTTAAGCACATTCTGGTTAAACTTCTCTAAAATTATAACTCTCTGGAATTATTACTCCACTTTCTGAACATTAAGGTATTTTTCCTTTGAATGTTAAATGATTGTTAAAGATGAATTTAGCATCACTAAATTTCCAATCTTTAAAGAAATCATTTGGTCCTTATTAATAAGATCCTAAAGAATTATGACTAGCAATTTCTTCCTCATCAATTACAGGAGTAGTAGTCAGTTTCTTGCTTGAACGTGTTAGAATTGAAAATAATGCATAAACACACACAAATCCAAATGCACCTATTACCAAATGGTATGCATATTTTTCAAAAAAGCTTGGTTATGTTTGGTTACGTCTTTTCATTGCTTATGCTGCCTTTTCTCTTTATGCAACTTTTTCTGGAGATTAAGGGGATGGACTTCTTTATCTTTACGATACTTAACTCATATTTTAATTTAATTATTTAACACGTTTTATTAATTAAATTTAATATAAACATAAAATATAATTGCAATACAAGTCATAAACTTATTATCTAATAATATTATCAACGAAAATATATTCTTAAATTTTAATTTGATAATCATTGAAATACGACATATTATAGACATTTTAGGTTCTTAAATTTTGTTAATTAATTAATTTGTTTGATATATATTTCAAAATTATTTCAATAAATAAATACNCGGAATAGGCTTCCAATTGTAATTAATTTTAACCTTAACATTTATATACTTTTTTCAATACCAACAGCAATATAGGCTAAACCTTTGAGACCCCATGAATCTCCCCAAGAATTTTCGATAACCCAATAATTAACTCCGTCTTGCTTTCCCCAACCAATAACTTTGACTGCATGTCCATATTGGAATCTAAATAAAAATTTTGAAATACTTTGAACTTCCTTCTACTACTTCATAAATTCCTCCTTTATAAACAAGAAAGTCTTTGAATACTTAGATAACTGCAACAACAGGTCCATTGTTTAAAATTTCTCTTTTAATGTTTTCCTCACTGGAGACAACACAATAATCTTAAATCTTATATTTTTCACAATTGGTAAAAAGAGCATCACAATTGTCTTTTGCTTCTTCAGTTCCAGTATATGGTAAACAAGAGGTTGTAACAAACCCTTACTTTTTGCCAACTTCTAATACTCTAGTAACACTTCCTCCTCCACATCTATAATTTTTATTATCACAAGAGATTGGTGATTATGGTGATAATTAATCTTAAAATTCACCATTTCTGACTTTACATAACCTATCACTTGTAGCTGAGACAGCAGCGATAGAATAGCTGGATGAACAATTTCCTATCGATTAAACAATAGTTTACCTTAATTGTAGATTGGTTAAGCACATTCTGGTTAAACTTCTCTAAAATTATAACTCTCTGGAATTATTACTCCACTTTCTGAACATTAAGGTATTTTTCCTTTGAATGTTAAATGATTGTTAAAGATGAATTTAGCATCACTAAATTTCCAATCTTTAAAGAAATCATTTGGTCCTTATTAATAAGATCCTAAAGAATTATGACTAGCAATTTCTTCCTCATCAATTACAGGAGTAGTAGTCAGTTTCTTGCTTGAACGTGTTAGAATTGAAAATAATGCATAAACACACACAAATCCAAATGCACCTATTACCAAATGGTATGCATATTTTTCAAAAAAGCTTGGTTATGTTTGGTTACGTCTTTTCATTGCTTATGCTGCCTTTTCTCTTTATGCAACTTTTTCTGGAGATTAAGGGGATGGACTTCTTTATCTTTACGATACTTAACTCATATTTTAATTTAATTATTTAACACGTTTTATTAATTAAATTTAATATAAACATAAAATATAATTGCAATACAAGTCATAAACTTATTATCTAATAATATTATCAACGAAAATATATTCTTAAATTTTAATTTGATAATCATTGAAATACGACATATTATAGACATTTTAGGTTCTTAAATTTTGTTAATTAATTAATTTGTTTGATATATATTTCAAAATTATTTCAATAAATAAATACCTTATTTAAAGGAATTAATCTTTTCTGCAACATAACTAATTTGTATCAAAAAAGGAATTAGACCAAATAATGAGATATTCTTGTTTTCTCTAATGAAGGAATCTGAAATACCATAAATAGATATGGCTATGATATAAATAATTAAATTTCTTAAATATCGATAGGGGTAATCTATTACAAAGTAGGCAACTTCTTAAGGATTGAATTTTTATCTATTTGAAATTAAGCTCAATTATCAAAGGCAATTATCATAAGCAACATCTCCAAATTATAGATTATCTTATTCATCTAAAAAAGAGGAAAATATACCTCCTTCTTTTTTATTTGGATTCATTAAGACAATTCTTTTTTAATTTTTGATAAAATTCTGTTCGATTATCCTTCAATATATCGGATAATTAATTCCATAAATTTTAATAAGAATTATTACCATTTCTTTCAAGTTTAAGAATAATTGATTTTTTGAATAACCTTATGCGATCTCATATTTTTAAGGATAAACTTATAAAAGTAAGTGAAATCAGAAAATTTCGAAGATTCCAAGTTATTTAATTAGACACTTGAATTATGAAATTTAAATTCATAGAATTACTAAGAAACTTTTTATTAGAAATTAACTTTTATATAGTAGGTCATGATCTATGATCTGTTGAATAAATATTTTGAACTAAATTAAAATTTTGTAAGAATCAAAATATGATCAATCCTACTTTAAACTAGCTTAAAAAGATTAGACCTTTAGAAATTCATTTATGTTTTAGGTATAATTTCATAAAAATATCAAAAGGATAATTTTTTAAATTAAGGTCTCCTATATAATTATTCCTTAGTTAGGTTTCATTCGAAAAATGAATTCTGAAAAACATTTTTTTTGAGATATTCCCTTAGCTTTTCTAAAATTTTCTCTGATGTTAATATAAAAGTTAAAGATAAATAAATCGCAATATTCATTTTTGGCATTAATAACCACATATCAAAGATAATTTAAATTGTATATCACGACATTTTTTTGAGGTAAAACTTTTCTGAACCCCATTAATAATTCCACCTGAATTCTTTAATTATGAATTAGACAGTGAAATAAATAATTGTTTAATTTGGCTTGTTTTCATTCTTGTAAACAAAATATATGAGGAGCATATTATTTAACTAATTTTAGCGTTTATTACTTAATTGATGACACATTCCATAAAACAATCTCGATTTAACATTCTGTGTTAAGCTTGAGACTCTAATTGGTTCTTATTGCCAGATTAATTAGAGAGGGTTTAGCTCTAATATCTGGTGGGGTTTAGTTGAAACCGCACTCATTCATGTCTATATAGAATTTAACCTGATAAATTATGTGAACTATTTTATGGGTTTTTATTTTTTGTTATTTTTTCATATATATTTTATAATCTTATAAGCTAAAAAATTAATTCAAGAAGTGAACTTTCCACCACATTAATATATAATCTCTTCTTCACTATTAGTATTTTCAATTTCAGATTGGAAATTATTATTCACTTAAATTTAATTGTTTCTTTTAGGTGTACATAAGGATACTTTCTTTAGAGAATTATTTATCTATTCTATTAATGTGTCTTAAATTTAATATATTTTTTCTACACTTAAGCTTTAAAATAAATTTTTAGAATTAGATTTCTTTTCTGATTAATTTAATTTAAAAACTTTTGAAAATATTGTCTTAGGCATTTATTTTGAAGAAACTTAATATTTCATTAATTATTATTATTTA